GATTAACTGGAGGCACAAAAATATTTTAAGTTTGATCAAGGTCACAATAAGTGATACAGCCAAGACTAAGGGTGGTCTGTTAGCAATTATTTATTCTGTTTTTCAATACAACCAAATGTCAATCTGTCACTGCTCTAGGGCTTTGTTTTCCCTTGTTGCTATGTAATTGCTCTCCTCCTTTTCCACTTTCTTTTCATTTTTTAATTTTTTTTAGTTGCAGATGCAGACAATATCTTTATTTTATTTGTTTATTTTTATGTGGTGACAGRGATCGAACCCAGTGCCTCACGCATGATAGAGAAGCACTCTACCACTTAGCCACAATCGCAGCTCTCCTTYTCCACTTTATCTTGTATGTGCTTTTTTATTCTGTTTTTCTTCTTTTTCTTTCCTTTTCTCTTCCTCTAACTTTCTCTATTCAATTTTCACAATGAACATAATCTAAACTAGATCACCTGGTATTTTACTAGGGAAGACAAAGAAGGAATAGTTAGAAAGAAGATGAGTTAGGATTGTACATACAAAAGAGTTCCAAGAAACAAGAGAAAACAAAGGACTGACCTTTGAATGTAGAAGAAAAAAAAAGATGTGTGATTATAATTGAGAGAAATATTTTAAACTAACTGTTGAAGAGAAGGTTGTGAGATAGAATAACATTTGTTAAGGAAATGAAGACAAGCAATCACTGTAGACCATTTATTTTAAAAACTGGCATTAAATAACAAATGAAGACAAGCAATCACTGTAGACCATTTATTTTAAAAACTGGCATTAAACAACAGAAAGAACTAAGATCATAGCTAAAAAGGACAGCTAGATCAAATAAAGGTTGGAAGGGCAGTTATATTTTGGTTTTTGTTTGTTTAACTAGACAAATCTGGGCATGATTAAATACTAAAGTAAAACCAGTTGTCTACTGTCAAAAGTCAAATTGTTCTATGACATTAAGAACTTCATGTGTCATGTTTATAGATATCATGTCCAAGGTTTGGCACATAGTAGATGATTATTATAAATACACTTATTCAAAAAAAATTACAAATTTTTTTATAATAAACCCAGGTTTCGGTTGCAGTATTTAATCCTATATCTTCAACCAATTGAATGCTGCACTAAAATATTTGTATACGATCTCTATGTGCCAGGTACTATTCTAGGCTATGTGAACATAGTAACAAACAAACTTAAAATGCCCTTCCTCTAATGGGAAGAACTGAACACACACTATAAACTTAAAAGTAGGAGATGCAAAGAGTAATAGGCCCTATAAGCAATACAAAAGCATAATATTTACTGTTAATAGGAAGGAGCGAATAATATTGCAYATAGAATGGTCATGGAAGACCTCTCTGTTTAGATGTTATCTGTATAAGAAAATAAGTCAGGCAAATAATCAAAGAACACTGTGGACAGATAAGATAATAAACCCAAAGATCTGAGAAAAAAAAAAAAGCACTTAGAGGGTAGTGAGGAAGAACAAGGTAAACCTTCAGATTGAAGTAAAAGGAAAGAGTAACAGAACCAAATGCAAGATATCCATACTTCACCTATAATTTTAACAGCACTTAATCATTTATGAATTCTTTCACACATAAATAATTTTTAAATTAATGCAAGGGAGAAAATTAGAAAAATTTCAAATTGATTACCCTGCAAAATTTGTTTTGTATTTTTCCTTATATAAGCAAAAAATTCTATTTATTTCAATACTGTAAGCAATAATCTGAAATACAACATGTTATTCAATAAGTTAAAAGTACTTTGAATTWTTGATATTATTAACATTCATGAATCTCAATTATGATACAACTTCCTTATAGAAAGCAGTGTTCTACTCAATAGATGTAAATATTCTCTCTGAACAATTCTACTGGAATAGCCAGTGGACAAGACTCCAAGCAGGCACAGGTGACTAATTCTAAAAGCTGCATGTTAAGAAAAATACACATTAGTGTAATTCTAGTTTTCTAATTGTATCCCTTTCTTTCTTATCTGTCAATAACTTAGTATGGTTTAAAATAATTCACCTAAGTGGGATGTGTAACTCATTGACAGAGCACATGCTTAGCATGAGCAATGTCTTGGGTTCAATCCCAAGCACCAAATAAATTAATTAAATAATTCAGCTGTTTTCATATATGTCGTAGTACCTACCACAGGTTAGTATACATAATGGACGACAGATTCCATTAAGTCAAGATATTTTTCATACTACTATTTTTTGTTTAGTAATGCTAAGTAAAAACAATAATAGAAATAAAATATTTTAGTATCAAAAAAATCTCTATACTACAGATAAAAGATTTTCAGAGGACATGGTTTGGGGAAAGCAAGGTAATTAGCAAAAGAAGCCAAATTTCTTTCAAGAAATTTTAAAAAACAAGTTTTAAATTTCGTTTTATGAAATATAAATATTAAGAAAACATGGAAAATGTACATTTGAAAAATAGAGAATGTGCCTACAGTTATAAAAGCAATTAAAATAAAATGAATAAAATCTCAGCATTAAACATGCTGTAAAATGTGCACTTTCAATGCAGACAAGATGGTTACACCCACTCCTATTAGAAAACTGAGACAAAATGGGAAACTAATGAGCTCARCTGCAAGGGATTTGTTTGTTTTTTAATTTCATTTACTTGCTCAAAACATAATTTCTATTTTACCCTAATGTCTTTTGTAGGATATAAGGGGAATCAAATGTTCCCAAATAAGAATCTGAATAAACTGTGAAAATATATAATACAAGCTTCATAGTTCTAATGCACATCTACTATATTCTGTCTTAATATTTTTGACAGGTTAATCATTTGTCTTCATGTTTAAAGAACACAAGTGTTTTGCTAGGCTGATAAATAGATCATGGGGGTAAAAAGAAGTGCTGGGGTAGAAGAAGATCTGTTTTTTGAAGATGCATTCTTAAGCAAATGTGGGGACACATACTTATGTACTTGACCATGATATGCRGAAGATGTGGTTCATTATGAAAGGAGAAATAAGTAAAACCCACTGATAAAAAATAAACATTTTAACAGGAAATTTGCTATTTGGAATAAGGAAATAAGTTATCTTGGAAACCTTTCAGACAAAAAAAAATTTWAAAATAGCCCTAAACATTGTGCTACCATCAGCAATTTTTAAAATTCTCAAAACTAAATAGAATCCAAACAGGTTACAAAAAAATGGATAAAGTAGCAAAGGTGACAAAATTAATGTCTGTTTGAAAAACCAGTTCACCGAGCAAAGCAAGGAGCTAGATGAATAGATATATTCGGTATTCATTTTCAGTTTTAACTGGCTATATTTAGTACTGTTTGTTTTGCTCTGTCTGGAGCTTGAATTTAATGAGAAACAAAAATATGAGTAAAATTTTCATCAAATTCAACTTCAGTTCTGTTTTAATTTTTAAATAATGTTCAATTTCAGGTCTTACTTAGGAAAAAATGTAAGTCTGATTCCATGACAACAAATAGTACTGTGATGAACATCAGTAATGAAAATGCCAAGCCTTAGTCCAATATCTAATATGGAAATGTGATTTAATGTAAGTTATGAAACATAAACATAACGACAGTACAACAAAAGAACTGGAGAGTCCACTGGAATTTGCTTAAGTTACAGATCATGATTAGTGACTAACATGTGTTAATGACTAACATGTATAAACAATTCTAGCTGGATTTTTTTTTAGCTTAACTAGAATTKAAATTTGAAGAGAAATTTATGAAAGCAATTTTAAAGGACTTCTATTTACACTACAAAATTTTATTAAAAATAATTCCGATCTACACAGATACCCAACACCACCTAAAACAAGTGAACTTGTTTTTTCTCTCTCTCCGTTTCAATTAATGATACCACTTATTAGAAGTTCCTAGACTTAAAATTTCAGCATCTTTTCCCCCAGCAATCTATTCATTGTTAACTATTCACAAAGTCCTAGTACTTCTGAGGTTTGTCCTCTTAGCTCCAGTCTCACTATGAAAACATTAGTTTAAATACCGCCTTTATTAGTTTCCTACAATCAGACCCAAACTGGTCTCCCTGTCTCTAGCTTCAATTCATCTTACCATCTTACCAATACATTTTACCAACTCTTGCCAGATTAAAGCTCTAAAGGACAGATCATGTCATTCTACACCTCAAAACTTCTAAGAGGTTCCTGCTTTAATAAAGAATAAAAGTCCAGGCTCATTAGTTYATCAATCAAAGTCCTGCTCAATATAGCATCAATCTATCTTTCCAACATCACTTCTCTTCTATTTTAATGTAGAGGTACTCTTCCCTATGGACAAAGAAAATTAATTGTTATTTCTTGGACCTGGCCTATAATTTCTACTTCCCTGATTAATGAACTCCTTCTACTTAAAGTAATAATCCCAAACTTATCCAATTATTTAGGATACAGGGTACAGTTTAAATGTTACCTCCTTCAYGATGCCTTCCCCATTCCCCATCTATATGTAAACTCCTTCAATGAACACCTACAGAACCTTGTAAATTCATCAAGTAATACCACTTTATAACATGGCTCTTTACAAAGAAACCTCTCTTACTAGATTTCTTACGGGAGAGAAAAACCATGAGGGGAAAATTCCGTAAGGTAAAATAYCTGTAAAGTCATGCAGTCGTATATACACACAAATACATAAGCTAAATGCATAAATTAATGAGCATATATATTATATTAATAAAGAGGTATAAAAGTCAATAAAATAATATGATGACAACATACCTAGTGTAATATATTCCACTAATTTGGAGCTAAACTCTGATCTAARTTTTAAGAACCAGTACTGCAAAGTAACTACGTTCTCCTATTACATTATCAATATTAATGTTGGGGGGGATCAAATCTACAATTCTTATAACACAAAACTCAAACATCAGGACATGCTATTTGCTCTACATATATTATTAGCAACTTTGTTTTCTGACTGAACTAAATTGAGAAGAAACTTGTTGACAGCATTTTGAAATAACAAAAAATTATTCCTTACTTCTAGTAAGCTTAGGAAACTTTTTTTTCAGTTTCTTCCTTAATGGATTAAGCTCAGGCATTATTTCTGGAACAGCTACATAAAAGTCTACTTGAACTTCATCATCCAAAATCTGAAAATCAGGGGAAAAAAATAATCTTAGATTATCTTTTGGAAAACAAGTAATTTTCATTTTGATACAGAAGAAACATTAAGCACAATTTTTTTCTTCAAATGCAAGGACCTTATGAATGCACTTACCAATTAAGAAAACAATCAGAAGCAAAACATTTTCTTTTAAATACAGACACATTCATTTTTAACAAAATATTTAATGGTTTTAATTTTTCCATGAAGTTGTRTTAGGTAAAAAGGCATTATAAGCTAGAATACAGCACTAACATGTATACAACTCATATAACTTGACAAAGTAGAATTCATGTCTGTTAGAATTGAAGAAATAAGCTTATATTTTTGCAATAGATCACATGTAAAATTAATAATCACTAGGTGCCAAACTAACTAGCAACCACTAGCTTTATAAATTTAGAGCATGGAGAGAGCTGAATCTATAATTATTTTCGCAAAGAACTGAACTAAAATTCTCCTTGTCACCAATACCTAAAAATAAAAGATGTGGGGGGGGCAGTCAAAGACAAGTTCATGCACAGTTTATTATCCATAYTCTATTTCCATTTTCAGAGCAGGGGATTAATATTCAATTTTTAAAAGATTTTTTTCATTGATTCAGGCAAGCACGTAAAGTAACTATTATACTACTACACTACTTAAAAATTTRATTGATTATAAAATGAAAGAACTCTTTAGAACAATACTGCCTGGGCAACAAGTATTTCMGCAATTTTTGTTTGTTTTCTGTTTTTGCATAAAATCCTACCAAAATATGCTACTCAAAGCCTTGGTTTAGGGTTATATGGAATCCAAAAAAATTGAACTTTATAATAAAAAAAAGCACTGATTCTTGAATTTTATCTTTCTGTTACCAATATTTCATTTTACAAATTCTTTACTCCTTAAATAATATACCATGTTCTCCTTTACAATAATAAATGAGTACTTCTCAAGTGCCATGAATTCTGCTAAATATATTACATGATTTAGTTCATCCGATCTTTACAACAACTCTACTAGGCAGGTACTACTATTGACCACGCATTCCAGATAAAGAAACTGACRGCTTAGGGAGGACAAGTTAGTCTCTGCACTCCTCAGAGTGAGAGCCAGAATTCAAACACAGATAATGTGATTTTAGAATCAGGGCTCTCAGCCTTGGAAATAGGAAAGCAGAGGCAATTTTGAAAATGTCAAAAGAATTGTATGTAAGTTTTCTACTTAAAGACTTTCCAAAATTAATTCTGTGTCACGTTCCTTTAAATTAAATTAAAGTTATGTTTGAAAGTTATGCCATAATTAACCTTAACCTTGAAATAATACAAATCTGTGGATGGAAATCATGCTCTTAGAGATAAGTAAAAACATGAAATTACTTTCAAAGTTCTCAGAACCAAGCATATTTGTGATATTACAAACAAAATTTAATAAAGTTCTTATCTAAGAAACAACTGAAAAATTAGTAATTTTATCATAGTTTACATTTTAWAAGAGCTAAGTAATTATAGTACACTAATTCAGAAATATAGGAATGGGATTGGGGATGCAGCTCAATGGAAGAACACTTGCCTAGCATGCACAAGGCCCTAAGTTCAATCTCTAGAACCACAAAAAATAAATTAGTTAATTAAAATAAAAATACAGGAATGCATTTTTAAAATTGCAGCCATGATACTATTTACACAACTATGTAGAATTTACTTCATAATCTRAATACCTTCTAAAAATAACATGGACACTCTTTTTAAAAGAGACTATGGGGTAACTTGCAAGAATACAGTGATTAAGATTACTTATACAAATGGCACAGTCCCTTTCATAACAGATCCACCACTGAGGTTCCTAAAAAAAAAAAAAAATGCTTGTACCTGTAAGTCTTATGTATCAAATAACTTCAAAGTGTATTTGGTTTCCTTATTTGGGTTACTTTTTCAAATATGCTTCCTCTGCTGAACTTAACGYTATATAAAATACTTTCTGTTCCATTACCATTTCTTCTTTGATAAGTAACTTAACTTCTTACTTAAAGTTTGAGAATTGAAAGAGTGACTATGATAGCTCTACTAGATACCTTGTGTTTGCAGGAGAAAACAGATGAAAGGCAATATACAAATGTAATATGAATAGTTCTCTGACTTAAGAAACCAAGCTCCACTCTCAAACCCCAAGCCTTCACGATRTTTTTTTAAATAAACATACAAATTAAAATTGATAAGCTAAAAAGAATTGAGTACTAACCTTCAACTTGGTCTAGAATCTTTGTTAAAGTATATTCTCTTCCTAATTTCTTTTAGTTCTTCTCCTAAAACTCATTTTTAAGATTCCATAGAAAAATTTATAATCTCCCACAAATTTAGAATATTATTGGAGTGGGAAAAAAAATAAATTACCAGCACTGCCATACATTCCAAAGGATGAGCCCAGATAAAAGTTCCCCAGATGAAAATCTGGATACTGAACAAAAGATACATTTTTAAATCACTTTTTCCTATTCTGCCTCTCCCCCCTAAAAAAATCCATAATCTAAATGATTATCTTTAGAAGAGGAGCTTTTAGGGAACATTAAAGTATCATTAGTTTTTCAGAAATAGCTATGTGCCTATTTCCACCTTAAAAAAAAAAATGCTGTTCTTTTCAAAAAAAACACTCCACAGGCTCTGTTATTTTCTACAGGCAGCTACACAGTCATTTGTCAGCTAYCATGGTGAGCCTCTGCCACTCAGAACTGAGTAGGGAGTAAAAGTTAAGAGGAACCAAAAGCACTATATTATAGAGGTCAGATACTATGCTTTTTGATCTATCAAGTGAATCACTCCCAGAAAGCACAACAGATATTTGATCTTCAGAAGATGAATARAGCCAGGCACAGTRCATACCCATAATCCCAGCTACTCAGGAAGCTGATGCAGGAGGATCACARATTCCAGGTCAGTCTGGTCAACTTAGCAAGACCCCATTTTGAAATAAAAAAGTGAGCCAAGAGTGGTGGCACACTCATGTAATCCCAGCAATTCGAGAGGCTGAGGCAGGAGGAATACAACTTCCAGGCCAGCCTCAGCAACTCAGTGAAATGAGGTTCTAAGCAACYTAGAGAGAYCCTGTCTCAAAATAAAAAATAAAAAGGGTACTAGGGATGTAGCTCAGTGGTAAAGCACCCCTGGGTTAAATCCCTAATACCAAAAAAGAAACCCTGATGGACAAAAGGAAGAGAGGTGCATCCTGGACATGACAAGAAACCACAAAATAAATCAAATATAATCAACATCATTTTGTTTTTTCTTACCTTGATTTTGAGATTGAAAAAKGAAAGTTTTTCCCTGCTCTATAAAAATCCCTACTAACAATTTATCAAAAGATATGAGCCTGGTGATTATGTTCAACATGTAATAAATCAGTGGATGGCAAAGATAACAAAACAATCTTTATAACTAMTGAACATGAAAACAACACTATACCTTCTGAATCAGACTAGTTCCTCCTGCAAACGCAGCTCCATTTTCTTCTGCTATTTCAATCTCTGATGCATTCTACCAAAACACAATAATGTGAACATCAATCTTTTTGAACAACTTTAATATATTTTTGAATATTCTGTCAGAAATAATCAGCATTCAAAATAAAAATCATGGTTTTATTTTGACATCAATTTTCAATTAAATGTAWCAGTTTACGACATTCATTACATGTTTAATTTGTAGGTAAAGTGTTTCTTGACAGACWTATGATGAAATACACCAAAATGACATATTAGAAACCAACTAAATGGTAGGTATCAGTTTTATCAATATATTACCTTTCAAAAATAAAAGGTTAAAATATATTTAGTTCTGCTAACTTATTAAACAGAAACATTTTATAAAACCAATATTAARAGGGTAATTTTTTTCAACTTAAGGAAAAAAAAAACTTACCAAGTGTCTGAAAATTTCAAAAGAAAAATAAATAGTATTAGTTATTTTTTTATAAAAAATGGTTTTATTGTTAAAATGTTTCAATCTCTTAGGTATCAAAAGTTCTGTGAAATTCCAAGAACTATATTCCCCACTTTTCTGGGAAGAAGTAAAGTATCTTCCTTGAGAGTAAGGCAGAGCAAATGAAAAATGCCTCAATTTTGAACTTTGTATAGAGAAGAATCAAAATATAAAACATACATAAACACAGTATAACAAATTAACAAATCCATTATTAGCAAAGAGATGTAGATGGATTACTACTTTTGTTATAAACATTTGCTATAAACTTGATTTCCTAACTTTCTAGATATTTTTAGAAGATGTGGTTTCTGAGGATATCTAGCACTAAGTGGTACTCTTGCTTTAAAATAATCCTCTTGTGTAAAGGAAGAAATTTAAGTAGTAAGAAGGAGTTACRCAGATAAATTGTACGGTACTCTTCAGTTTCTTGTGAAAAATATAATGTGATGGATTAGTAATGATGAGTGAAATTTTCTATTTGGCTCTATCTCAAATTAGTACCATAAATCCAAATAAGTCATCTGCTTTGAACTCTAAATGGGGAAAATAAGATGCTGATGAATACCAAAATTTTCTCTGTTTATTCAGTTATTCAAACCACTGATTAATTCGATTTCTAAAATAAACTAAATGATACAAATAGATTACAAGTTACTCACCCCAGTAAATACAGCAACTTTATTGATTTCTGATGCAAATGGGTATGGAAAACTAATAACACTGGCAAATGGCTCCACTTTTTTCTAAACATACAACAGGAAATACAATTATAAAAAGTTCATTTTTTTTCTATTATCTCTCACTTTCTATAAAAACCAGAACTGATATGTTTTTCATTCTTTGATTCTACCATATGTCATTAATMCAGAACCATTCTTTTGATTACAAATTAAAGCTCAAGAAACTATATGTCCTTTTTATGAAAAYATAATAAAAATCTAAATCTCTCTTCCCAGCTCCATACTCCCTTAGCATCTGCTTCTATCTCTTTATCGCTTACCACAGTCTCTCAAATATTAAGAGGTATATTTGTATATCTATAAGCCCCCAGCACCTAGTATGATGTTTACCATTTCATTGATATAAACAGATGTTTCCTAAATTGACTTAAAATTGTTTAAAAAAAACCTCTAATTTTCTGACACAGTCAAGAAAAATATGAACACAGYTATACAAAATGAACAACAGAAAATATCTAATTCATCTGCTTAGTAGGATACCCCTAATTGTCATACTTGCTCTAAACAATTAGGTAAAATAGATACTATTTTTTTAATATTTATTTTTTAGTTGTAGTTGGACATAATTTTTTATTTATGTTTATGTGGTGCTGAGGATTGAACCCAGGGCCTCACATGTGCTAGGCAAGCCCTCTACTGCTGAGCTACAACCCCAACCCCTAGATACTGTTTTGAAATAACCTGGACCACCATCATATTTTTTTTTTTTTTTGAAGGGAGCAGGGGGGATTAACCAGAAATCAAAAATAAACAATAGCATGCATYTGAGGCACTCTAATATGGGCAGAGATTCTACAGGGCCTCAGAATTAATCCACTCCATCATTTTGGCCAAGGGCATTTGTAGATCTAAGGCTCAGGTCTCTTAGGGAGACAAATGGAAATAAGTTCTAGGCCCTTCACAGTTCTGTTCAAGCCTTAAGGTTTGGAGGGGAAAAGGAGAAAGAAAAKACATTATTCTGCTAATAAAACTGAGTGAAAGATAACATTCTTTTGAGTAGAGACATCTTGAGGGGGGGGGGATTTCTTTTCTGACAAAAAGGATTTTTAAAATTTCCTTTTTTAAAAAATTTATTTATATGTATGGGTGGGTGGGTGTGTGTGTGTGTGTGTGTGTGTGTGTGTGCGCGCGCGCGTGTATGTGTATTGGGGATTAGACCCAGGGCTTCCACATGCTAAGCAAGTACTCTATCACTAAGCTACATCCCCAGCCCTATTTAATTATTTAGTTTTGCAACAGAGTGTCTCTAAGTTGCCCAGGCTGGTATTGAACTTGGGATCCTCCTGCTTCAACCTCCAGAATAGGAAGGATTACAGACATGTGCCACTGCACCTGGCTAAGAAGGCATAAATTCTTAAGCACATGTTATATCATTCATTTAACTTATTATTGATTTGCATTCCTTTGCCAAATCAATGTCATAACTGGTTTCAGTAGTAAAGCAATCATAACAGCATCCCCCGGGGAATACTGGCTTGTTGTGCACTCTATAAGAAAAAGAAAAGCTCTAGGATAATGATAGTACCTTTTTAATGTCATTCATTTCAAATGACTTCCATATACAAAATGAAGCTTGTGTCCTACAGGACATTGTTATGAACTTCTTTAATGGTTGACCAAGAAAAGTATCATCTGTACTACAAAACTTTTAAGATAAAGAACTAAGAGTAAGGCTGGGTGTGGTGGTGCATGCTCTAATCTTAGTGGCTGGGGAGGGGAGGCGGAGGCAGGAGGATCTCAGCTCAAAGCCAACCTCAGCAAAGGTGAGATGCTAAGCAACTTAGTGAGACCTTGTCTCTAATAAAATATAAAATAGAGCTAGGGATGTGGCTCAGTGGTCAAGTGCCCCTGAATTCAATCCCTGGTACCCCCCTCCAAAAAAGAACTAAGAGTAACATAACATACAAAATAAAAATTGTAACATGACTGGTATAAACTGTTTCTAATGAAAACTAAGAAATGAGATAAACCTTCATTCAAATCTTAACTCTACCCGTGCTCTATAACCTTGAACAAGATACTTCACTTTCTCTGTTTCCTCTTCTGACATCATTATAGGATTAAATGAGAAAATAAGTGCAAAACATTTAGTACTGTGAATGATACACAGAAAGTTTTCAGTAAATGTAATTAATAAGTACTAAGTCCTTTACATGTATTATCTCATTTAATCCTCAGTAGAACCAAACTAAATATTTTATCTCTCTTCATAAAGAGAGGGAAAAACTGAGACTTAAAGAGGTTAAACAATAAATCCAAAGCCAAAAAGAAAACAAGTCCAGGGTCAAAATATGGTGACGGMGGGCTGGGGCTGTAGCTCAATGACAGAGCAAAACTTGCCTAGCATGTGTGAGGTACTGGGTTCAATCCTCAGCACCATATAAAAAAAAATTAAATAAAGGCACGATATCCATCTACAACTATAAAAATTAAAAAAATATATGGTGACGGCATAATATGGGTTGGTTTATACTGTAATTTGACCCCATTGCCTATACTCTTAAACATAATGCTGTGCTGCTTCCTCCTAGGTGCTTGCTTTCTTTTGCTGTGCAGGTTGTTAATTTGTATTACAAAATTTAAATCTTCTAATTTGGCCCAAAAAAGACATTTTAGAAAATAAAATAAAATATCATTTCTAAAATGTTAGATTTTTAAAGAGACGTTTATAAAATTTAGGGCTGTAAYAGACCTCAATACTAACCTCAAGGTTTTCTCTCTTTTAGAGTTTTATAAACATAAGTYTTCTGAAGAAATCCAGAGTATGAACATAAAAAGCAGAGAGGCTCTGATTAAAGCATGAGTGAGGAGCTTGGTACCTAAGCCATGCAAACTTAGTCTCATCTAAGACTGTAAGGAACACATTTGAGCTAATCCAAAACCCTCATTTACAAAGAAGAAACATGATACCCAGATAGCTTARGTTATTTTCCAAAGTTACAATGATATCTCAATTTTAACACTACTTTTGTTGAAATTTATACTAGTCATCCTTTAGGAGAACAGGAGATATATATATTTATCAACTCTCCACAGTGTCTTTAATTTTATGTTTTCAATATTTCATATTTCATCTTTCAGACCTGGAAAATTTTAAAATTAACATTTTTTATGACACACTATAGAAAGAGCATGAGATTTTCTAAAAATCATAGTGGGTACAAGAATTTTTAAAACTAAGAAACATCAATTCATATAGTCACTGTTCACAAATAAACATATTTTAATTGGGTCTACATACCTTTTTCCCCAATGCCATATCCAGTGTCAAATCAAGATAAACCCCTTGCTTTGGATGAGTAAAGTCCAAAATTTGAAATTTCTTAAGTAACTGAATAGCTTTCTCCACCTCATATATCTGCCTTGGGTATAAGCGTTTTAAATAGACATCATCTTCAGGTTCACCTTCCATGTAGGAATATGATTTTATTTTTTCTATCTCATCCTTTTTTTCATCTGTCGCTTTTTCTTTGGTATCTTTTTTTGTTTTCTTTGCAGGCCTTAAAAAAATTATCAAGATCAGTTATATTAATATTCTAGGAGGTTTTTTTGTTTGTTTGTATAGGGAATTGAACCCAGGGGTACTTTAYMATTGAGTTATAGCCTTAGCCCTTTATATTTTTTATTTGAGACAGGGTCTTGCTAAGTTGCTGAGGACCTTGCTAAATTACTAAGCCTGGCCTTGAACACATGATCCTCCTTGCCTCTGCCTCCAGAACTACAAGGTTTACAGGTGAGCTTCACAATGCCTGGCCCTAGGAGATCTACAATCTACACAGGACAGAGAACACTAACAAAAGAAAGTTTATTTAATTCAAAAGCATAGATTGCTTTACAGTTTTTCAAATTGAACAAATATTAAGTGAACTTTTCTACTGTTTACAGTCAGTAAAACTTAAATAAAGCATTGATATTGTTTTCCAGAAATTTACAGAGGAATAGAGAAGACAGGCATGCAAATTGATAATTTCAATTTAATGTGAAAAGTACTATGAAAGTGTTATCAAGGTCTTAGGAAAACAAACAACCCATTGTAGGAGAGTATAAAAGAGTGCTAGAAGAGATGACCCCAGAGTCAATTATTGAGGAATAAGGAAGTTAGCCTGGATATACACCCCCAAAAAAGAAAACATGTTCACCCCAAAACTTGTACATAAATGTCCCTAGCAATGTTATTCATTAATAGCCAAAAGAAATAAACAACCCAAACATCCATCAACTGATGAACAGATACATAAAATGTTGTATAACCATATAATGCAATGTTAATCAGTAACAAAAAGGAATCAAAAAAAGGAATGAAGTATTAATACTCCCTACAATGTGACTTAACCTTAAAAACATTATGCATTTATCAAAAATGGGCATATCAATAGAGACTAAAAGTAGATTTAGTGATTATCCAGGCCTGAAAGAGGTTGAGGAAATGGAGAGTAACTCTTAATGGGGATGGAGTGTGTGTGAAGAATAATGAAAATGTTCCAAATAAAAGTGATCACAGCAGGGTGCATGGTGCATACTTGTAATCCCAGTAACTTGGGAGGCTRAGACAGGAGAATTACAAATTCAAGGCTAGCCTGGGCAACTTAGCAAGATAATTTTAAAAAGGCTGGAGATGTAGCTCAGAGGTCCAGTGCCACTAGATTCAACACCTAATACAGTTTAAAAAAAAAAAAATTGATTAAGTGATTCTAATGATGGTTGTACAACTCCTTGAATATACTAAAACTACTGACATGTACATTATATCTTAATATGACTGTTACTTTAAAAATAAGAGCCATGCAAAGAAACAACATAATAAAAAGCACTGGGCCATGAAATAAAATGATATACAAGAGGAGCTATTATAAGTTCTATATGACAAGAGCAATGGTTGTCAAACTTTTTCTACAAAGGAACAGGTAGTCAATGTTTCAGCTTTGTGAGTCATGTGGTATTCTGTCCCAATGACTCAACTCTGCTCTTGGGCAAAAGCAGCCATAGGCAATACACAAATGAAGAAAGTATGGTCCAATAAAACTTTATTTCTAGACAATGAATTTGAATTTCATAGTTTTCATGTATCACAAATATCATTGTTTTGTATTTTAACCACTAAAAACTGTAAAAATCATTCTTAGCTTGTAGCTGAACAAAAATATGTGGTAGATCAGATCAGACCCACTAGTTTGCTCATGTTTGAATTAAAAGGGCAAAAGAGAAGGCAGAAAACACTATAAAATGACGTTGGAAAATCTACATCMCAAGGGCCTCCTCTAAAAGCAAAGAGAAGCCAGTGAACAAGAGGCTGAATTTCAAGGTTGAAATAAGAGAAATGGATCCAAAAGAAGCAGAATTGGAGACAACTAGAAAGCTACTCTCTCCCTAACTTCTCAAGGAGACATGAGAGCCTGAASAAGAATTTCGGTGATGGTAAGGAAGCTGAAAAAGAGTGCAGAACAGAAAAATATTTACAAGGTAAATATTGAAGATAGAGGGCTGAGCCTGTGGCTYAGTGGTAGAGCACTTGCCAAGCATGTGTGAAGCCCTGGGTTCAATCCTCAGCACCACATAAAATAAAATAAAGATATYGTGTCTACCTACAACTAATAAATATATTTTTAAAAAAATATTGAAGATAGGAAAAGGAGAAAGACAAGATTAAAATACTTCTTAGGTTAAGTGATGAGACAGAATACTATCATTAACTAAGACCAGAAACAAAGAAACAAAACAGGTTTCTAATAAAGCAAACAGTTACAGAGATAAGTGCAGTTGGGATATACAGAGTTTGAGAAAAGGCTAGATTTATCATTTGCCCTATTTTTTTAAAACCTCCCTCTCCATTCTAGCCTCTTTGCTAAGTGACTTTGCAGTACCTCCCACTAAAGGGATAGAAACATATTTCCCACCACCTTGACTTAGCCCTGTGACTAGTTTTGACAGACAGAGTAAAGTAGAAGTGACAGTTTCTCTGTTCTCAGCTTTTCTCAGCCTAGGCCAGAAAAGGTTTCATGTTTTGACTAGGTTTGCTTTTCTGCCATTTTAATAAGAACATGCCTAGACTAGCCCACAGGTAGGAGGATGAGAGGCAGGTAGAACAGAGCTGCCCCACAGAGCCCCAGGCTAGGGTAGACAATTCTCAGCTAACCTACAAACTCACAGATGCACAGCAAGCCCTGATTTCAGACACATTCATCTGACTCTAACCTGGGTCAGCTGACCCATACACAAGTGGGCACTGATAAATAATTGTGGGGAGGTTTGTTACATRGCAAAAGCTATCAAGGTACTTACCAAATACCTAAGAAAGAACATTCAACAAGTAATGGCAGGTAAGAGTTTAAAGGTAAGAACAAAACTGAGCATTAATTCAAACCATAAATTTTTAAATTAGTAAAACAGTATTCTAGAAAGATATGTGCATTCTATGGTAGGCAAATAATGCCCTCCCAAAGATATYGAAACATTTTTGACATTTTACCATCTTAAGACATTTTGTTTATTTTAAATAGGAGACATCATTCCTAAAACAAGCTTTCCAGTCTCCCTCCTCCTCTTGGCTTCACTTCTCCCTTTCTAAAATCAGGTAAAAATGTGGTTTCTCCAGTTTGAAGATATTAGGATTTTGTGGAGTACTTCCAAGATTCTAATTCTGAAAACTTGTAAATACATTATCTTACATGGCAAAAGGAACTTTGTAGATGTGACTATGGTTAAGAATCTCAAGATGGAGAGATTATCACWATCTATGTGGGCCCAATCTAATCGCATAGGTCCTTAGAAATGTGAACCTTTCCCCATATCCAGCTATGTAAGACAGAGGTGGGAAGACAATGACACTGGAGAAATCAAACATAAGTGGAATTCAACCTGAAACTGGTTTGAAGATGAAGAGGGYACAAACCAAGGAATGTGGGCAGCTTCCTGAAGCTGAGAATGGCAAAGAAATGGATTGGCCCCCACACCCTTAAGTAAAAAACCATCAACACCTTGATTTTTGCCCAGTGCAACCTATAGTATTTTAGGTCAGAATTCTGACCTAAAGAACCATAAAATGAAATTTTTAAAAAATTTATTTTAAGCCTCAAAGTTTATGGCAATAATAAAATGGGTATGGGTTCCTATAAAATTTATGTGAAAGATATGGATAGTAAATATTTTTTAAAAAGGTCTCAAAAACCAATCTAGCATAATTTTATTCTGACTTTTAGCACTTAATAAATCCTTATTACCACCTAATAAGAGTATCCTCCCAGCTAATGAGCAATTCAACAGAATAGCAGATAATGACAATCCTCATTTTAATGGGGTGCAGGTGTACTTTTGGACTGATGACAAGTCTAAGCAAGTGCCCAACTAGATGGATTTAACATGCCTCAATAGCCACCTTAGAAGTGCTCCATAAAATCCTGAAATCTTCCAAACTAGAGAAACCACATTTTTACCTTACATTCAGTAAGGAAGAAGTGAAGCAAATACAAGATAGGAGACTGGAAAGCCTGTTTTAGGAATAAAGTCTCCTATTTAAAAATAAATAAAATGTCCTACCTACAGTCTCCAAACTTACTTTATATAAATGCTGATTTCACTACTAAATTTTCAGTCGTAGTTGAASCAGTGCATTTAATCTGCAATGAAATCTCCAGTAGCTGAATTATGACTTTCTAAATTAATAAATACTTACAGCCAAGCACAGTGGTGCACACCTGTAATTCCAGTGATGCAAGAGGATCACAAGTTCAAGACCAGACTAGGMAACATAGCAAAACCCTATCTCAAAATTAAAAATAAAAAGAGCTGGAGATGCAACTTAGTGGGAAGCATCCCTGAGTCAAATCCCCAGTACCACAAAAAATAAATACATAGATATTTACAAAAACCAAAAAAATCTGATATGCAATGAGACTAAACAGTTACAGAGCAATTTATTTTATAATTATAGCAATGTTTCAGAAAACATTTGAGGTGGTTCAGTAAAAAGTTTTAAGTTTCAAATGGAATATTGTTATTATATAAATAAAACAAAAATAGCATAACATCAATATAAAAGATCAAATAAATCAGAAAAACATATTTGCTCAGTGGTAGAGCATGTACTTTTATATATGAGGCCCTGGGTTCSATCCCTAACACAGGAAGAAAGCAGGGAGAGAAAAATGCATTATTCAAATATTTTAAAAACTTCAATTGAACAAACTCCTTCAATAATAGTTAATCTTACAGACCTACTGCCTATTTTCCACAGCCTCCCTCCCCCTGGCAAAAATGTTTATCCTAATTCATAAGAAGAACTTTGTTGTTCAAGCAATTAGGTGAGGCACTATCAGAAACGTTTAAATACTGTGATTTTCATAATAAAATAAAACATACTRGAAAGGTTTGGGAGAAGGTAGAGAAAAACACCTGGCAGTCTAAATCTAAGAGAATAGAATTTAACTGCAGTTACCTGGGTAACTAAACCACACGGATTAAATGAGTAATAAGAGATTGTACTCAGCTAATAACTTTCTCCCTG